AACCTTTCTTTAAAACAAAAACATGTGGGAATCAGCATTTATAGTAAGTTGGCTACAAGGTCCTAGAAGGTGAATTAACCCTCAAATGAACCCCTAAATTTTCAATTCCAATAATTAGACCCAGAAATTCGGGTGCGAGTATTATTGGTAAAACTAAAATGTAGAAAAATAAGAAAGATCTAGTAGGTCTAGTTTGAAACATATAATTGATTTCTACTTCAACGTATTACTCTACATATATATAGGCCCATGTTTGGGCTCCATTATTTCCAAAATATGTTTCTTCAAAACTCATTTTTAGCCATACGTTATTTTATAAAATAATATTAGATGTAAACCCAAAATTTTTCTTTATCTTTTAACCACACATTCTCCAAAAAATCACTATTCCATTTCTTCCCATAGAAAATATTGTTTATTAATATTTTTCAATAAAATAATTTCATAATGGGAGTCAAGAAAATTCCGAAATCCTTTTTTAGTTAAGGATGATAAGAACAAGAACGATTAGGTCTTATTTGTTATCATGTTGTCGTACTAGGCATTACGCTCCACATTGTAATACCAATCATACGGTTTTTAATAAGAAAATAGTTTTCGCAAAAGTTCTAAGCTTGCATGGTAAGGTTGTTTTTATTTTATTTTATTTATTATTATTATTATTTTTTTTTATCCTTAAAAATAATTGCCATTTGAAGAAAGTAGAAATCCACAGGTAAAATTCTTGTTGAGCTTTAAATATTCAAATCCGTTCCCTGAATACATAAACTTACTTATATACTTGTCTTATTTATCATTTGATAAATACCAGGGGTTTCTAATTTCCTTATTGACTTGTCCTGGATCATGTGTTTGTCAATGAAATTTTCCTGTGTTCAGCGACTCTCCAGTAAAAGCTCATCTTAACAATACATTGTCTCAAATTATTATGCAGTCTTAATTTCCTTTTCTCAAGTACTTGTCATGCGTAAGGCTTCTCTTGTATGCCGTGATGATTTACTTCCTTGCTTTTCTTTTTATTTTGAGTACAGGAAGCTGCAGAAAGGGAAAATGTCATGAGTGATCCCAAGGCCATCATGCCTGCAGCATTTGTTTCTTTTAAATCCCGATGGGGAGCAGCTGTTTGTGCTCAAACTCAACAAACTAGTAATCCTACTCTTTGGCTAACAGAATGGGCTCCTGAACCGCGTGACGTATATTGGGACAATCTTGCAATACCGTTTGTTGAACTCAATGTCCGAAGATTGTTAATGGCAGTTGCTCTATTCTTTCTCACATTTTTTTTCATGATCCCAATTGCATTTGTACAGTCCTTAGCAAGCATAGATGGCATCGAAAAAGTTCTTCCATTTCTGAAGCCATTGATAGAAGCGTAAGCTAACTTCTTTGAAGCTATTCCTTACTTTTGTATACGTGAGTTCTGAGATGCTGAAAATTTTCTGTCTCAGAAAAGGTATTAAGTCTATCATTCAAGGTTTTCTTCCTGGCATTGCACTGAAGATATTTCTGATTCTTCTCCCAACTATTCTGATGATAATGTCCAAGATAGAAGGTTTTACATCACTTTCATATCTGGACAGAAGATCGGCGTCAAAGTATCATTTGTTCGTACTTGTCAATGTCTTTTTCGGAAGCATCATTACAGGAGCAGCATTTCAGCAGCTTCATAAATTTGCTAATCAGGCCCCATCAGAGTAGGTTATCTTTTGCAATAGCAAGCTTACTGTAATTGTTGGTTATTTACTTTTTATAGTATCCCTACAAATTATCACATCTAAGCCTACTTACTTGTTAACTCTATTTTATTTATTTTTTTATTTTTTTTATTTTTTTGGTGTTTTGTTCACTAACACCTTTCAATGTCAAGTCGACAACTTTAACACTAACAGACAGGCTTCACTATAGTTCTTTTTGGTCCAATCAAAACCATTTTTTAACTCTACTGGCCACCTGTTAAGCCAAATCTACTAAACTTTTTGAAGTCAAATGTAAACTTTTAGATGTCAAGCAAAATGGGACAACCTCTAAGAGTATTACACACCATTTTATGCCACTATGATTCTTTTGGGTTCATATAAAACCATTTTCCACTGGCCACAATATTCGTGGTAATCTTGTACCATCGAATGTGGAGGTTTAATATTCCCTGATAATGTATTCTCCATTA